GCGTCCGAGCACGGGCAGTCCCCGGCCGAGAGCCTGAGCGTCATCAGCAACAGCAGCAGCAGCTGCGGGAGTCGCGAGACAGCAGGCAGCTCCATGCCTCGGGTGGGGAGGCCGGAAGGCACCGCCTGAGGGGCGGGGCCTGCTGCTGAGGGGCGGGGCCCGCCGCTGCGTGGTGCCTGTGGCCTAGAGGGCGGGGCCTGTTCGGTGGGGGTGGGGCCTAGAGGGCGGGCCCTACTGCAGTGGGGATAACTCGGGGCCTACCAGGTATCTCAGCTAGACTGCTTTTATCTTCTCTGTCCCTTTTCACCCTGCCGTGGTTGTGTGTTCTGAAGGATTTTTTTGCTCATCAATCTTACAATTGTTTTAGAATCACTTGCTTAGCATTGCTTCCCCCTCGTATCCATGCCGGAAGCTCAGTGCAAGCTTGGCTTGTAGTAAATAACTTAATAAACCCATCATAAATACTTAATAAACTCCAAGAGCTCATGTTTTCTTTCTAAAACTAAAATTCGATCAAAAAGAAAAAAAAGGGCATTCTTTCCCAAGCTCTACACAGGATGTTAAAGGAAACATGTAAAATAAGTGGAGTGATATTATTATATTACCAGATATTTGCTTGTGTGTATTGTGATTTTCCAGCATGAACTAAAGTGGATTTAAAGATAAAAATTCTGTGCAGTGATCTTGGATTAGAGTCACAACTTCATGAAGCGCCTTTTTTTTTTTTTTTTTTTGATTTTTTTCGACACAGGGTTTCTCCGTAGCTTTTTTTTTTTTTTTTTTTTTTTTTTTTTTTTTTTTTTTTGGTTTCCGTCCTGGAACTAGCTCTTCTAGACTGGGCTTTTTGTTATCAGAACATGACAGGGCAGTTTCAGCAGGCTCCATCATGATGGTTCTCAGCCTTCTGTAGCGCAAGTTCTAATCAATCTTAATGACAAAAACCCAGAGTCAGCTGTTAGGAAGTGGAAACGGAAAGATCACAGAAGCAGAGCAGCCACTAGTTCTTACCTCGACAAGATCCTCTGGCTGAATGGGGTGTCTGTCTATACAAGTCCTCAGACTGAATGTCTCCTCCAGCCCTACACTCCTCTCTGCCCAGCCATTTCCCTTCCTGTCTCTACCTCCCTCAGGAAAGGATGAAAGGCTTGTGACTTCCAAGTACTGGGTTAAAGGTGTGAGCCATCACTGCCTGGCCCCTATGACTAACTAGTGGCTTAGCTCCACACTCCCATCCTCAGGCAAGCTTTATCTATTATTGCACAAACAAAAAAATCACCACAACCTTCCTAATGCTGCCACCCTTTAGTACAGTTTCTCATGTGTGCTGAGCCCCCTCCCCTAACAATAAAACTGTTTTCATTGTTAATTCATAATGAAAATGCTTGCTACTGTTTTTGAATTGCACTGTAAATAACTGTGTTTTCTGCTGGTCTTAGGCGACCCCTGTGAAAATGGTCCTTTGACTACCCCCTACCAAGGTTGCGGCCCACAGGTTGAGAACCACTGTTCTATCAGCTCCTGGGGTTGCTCCAAAATTTTTCTGTTTAGCAAGTGCATTAAATGCTAGAAAGCAGGCACATTTTGGAAATTATTGCATTTCCTTGGGGAATTCTGTTTAAGCATCAACAGGAATAAATATTCTCTTTATGGCTCTAAAGGAAACTGAATGCCGTTAAACTCATAATAACAATTAAAACACCAATTATAACATATGAGTTTAAATTTCTTATAAACCCCCTAAACACCAATAAAAATTTAAGTGCTGTGAATAATTTTCCCCAGAACAAAAGTATTATCAAAACAAAGACCTCCCTGAGCTCTCTGAGAAGAGGATCAAGTTTAAGGTAACTTGAGACAGAATAAGTCAATTTACTTCTAATCTTCGCAGGTTGGCTTTCTCGTCTGAAACGCCCTTCCTGTTGCTGTAATTAAAAAGGTTGTGCTGGCTCACAGTTCAAGCGTACAGCCTACGACAGCAGCCAAGTCAAGGCAACAGGATCTTGAAGCAGCTGGTCACGATCAGATAGCAGGACAAATGTGTGCAGGCCTGCAGCTGGCCTTCCCCTCTGCAGTGCAGGAAATCAGCAGAGGACAGCGCAACCCCAGGTGGCGGTCTCCCTCCCACAGTGAACTGATCATAGGCTTGTCCAGTGGGTACCTAACCCAGATAGTCCATGCGTGGAGGCTGACATTCTAGACCATCAAGCTCACAATTAACACTATCAGATTCCATCCCCGTGATGTCTTCTTGGGGTCTGCAGTAGCTAGCACGTTTTTCAGTCTCCTGTGATGAGGGTGTTGAGAGGACTTCTGCTGGCCACTTCCCCTCTCACGGCTCCGATAGGATGATATGATAGATTCCTTACACCGGCGTCGGCACAGCAGCCACAGAAGGTAGGCGTGACAGACAATGAAGCTAAACCAGAGTGGATGGTCCGCAGAACCCATCTTACTAATGTGAAGCTGGGATTTGACCTGAGCTTGCCTCAGCACACACTCTTGTTTTTCAGGGTTTTCCCATCTAAACCTGATGTGTGCCTCGAGGGTTGATTGTAGCTTGATGACAGTAAGACCAGGTAGCTGCAAGTCTGTGATCTTCACAATGATGTCAAGGAGTCTCCATTTTCCACCAAGATCTTTCCACCTGCCACACGATGGAAACCAATGGAGATGAGAGATGGCGGCCACGCTGCTGGCCAGGTCTCTCTGTTAACATGCCAAGGCTGTCTGTACTGAAGAGCAGATGGAACCTGCTCATCTTCAGCACCTTCTAACCGCAGCGCTGCTGTGGGGTATCTGACTGCACTGTGACACTCAGGTAGCCTTGAGTCGGTACAGAGATGCTCCTTAGAGCCAAAGGTGTGTTTACTGCCTGTCAACCAGAGGCGCACATTCGGCACTCAACTTAAGCTGAGACATCCGGTCAGCACGAGATTGCATTTCTGTGACCATACCTAAGTGTTGCACTAACTCTACTGTTTGTGTTCTCTTGCACACTCTGAGACTGTTTCCGTGCCAGGATGGCAGGCTACGTGTTGCATCACTGGAGCCCAGATACTGCTACAAAAATGTTAGCCATGGTTCTTTAATAAGCGGGCAGCAGAGGCAGCTCACTGACTAAAAGATCTTGCTGCTCTGACAGAGGACCCAAGTTCAGTTCCCAGCCACACAACAGGCAGCTCACAAACCACCTGTAACTCTAGCTCCAAGGATTCCAACACCCTTTTGACCTCTGTGCACACCACATGTAGTCGTCCCCCACCCCAAACAAAATGGCAAAGGAATCTGGATAAAAAGGTAATTTCATGCATATTAAGTGGTTTAGGCCATTGTAATGCTTGCACTTCACGTTGAGAGACTGCGCACTGCATTGGTGGGTTACAACTTCTAAGTGGCATGCTGGAGGGCCACATAAGACTTCCACGCACCGCGCCCCTGTGTCTGCGCTCTGTGCGCTGGCACCCAGTTACCGAGCTTCAGGCAAGGGGCTGGAGGTTAAAATACACAGACACACAGAGACAGAGAGACAGCGACATGTGTCTTCCTTGAATTCCCCAAGAATGCCCCCTTTATTGTGTTCAGGGGCAGATTATATAAAGATAGCCATGCCCCAGCCAAACCCACCAGAAACCACTCTCCTGCCATCAGGAACTCCTGAAGGTCTCGTGCTCAGAGCAGCTGTAGGCACTCAGATCAGGAGATTACAAGAAATTCAGGATCTGGGGTCTCACTGCTCCCAACATAAGACCTGATGGGAAATATGCTATTAGCTGGGCGTGGGTGTGGTTTATAACGCATCATAAACTGGAGCAACAGGCACTTGTCTGAGATAGCTCTGTGCAGCCTAGCTCGGCCGGGTAGCTTTCCGTTTCATCTGGTGTTTCTTAGAATCACACAATACAGAAACAGAGGCAAGGTTTACATTATGTATAAATTTATCCCCTTATATTTATTTGAATTTGTACAAATTTCTGGGGTTTCCTTGGTTTTCGCCACACATGTAAGCAAATGTTAAGAGCTATTTACTGGAATACAGTACAACTTGCTTCTCTCTGAGGAACTGCCAGTATCTGAGGCCGGACTCAAAGGAACCAGTTCTGGGGAAGGGGGCTGGGGCAGAACTAATGAAACTCCAACTGGAGTTGCTTCAAGAAGGCACACAGCACACACAGGGTGACCATTCACCACAGCTGAGTCCTGTGGCTCAGGCCAGTGGCCCAGGCCAGTCACAAGCAGCCCCATCACTCTTAGAACTTTCCCGCAAATGTGTGGCTCTCTGTAGCCATCAGACAGAGCCGTAACAACAGAATGTTATGGACTGATCGGGTGTCTGCAAAGCAAAGCCACCCTCCAGAGGGATTCTTGAGTCAGTAGGAATGTCACTCCAAGATGTCACATGGAAGCCACTGTGTTTGGAATAGGAACACTTGTCTCTGGCCCTTACCACTAAGTTCAGAGTTCACCTGAGATTTACCAGTCCTCCTGGGCCTTGCAGGAGTTTAGCTCAGAAGTGTATATGAACGGTGTCTGTGCCAAGACATTTCCTCTGGACAAAAGCGAGCAACGGAGCTGTAGGAGGACAAGGTCCATGCTAGGCTTTCACATCATTTCTCTTTTTAACTATTTACTTTTGACAACAATATGCCAAAGCACTGTGTGGCTGGATTTCTGTTTATCTTTGAGGCATTAGCAGTGAAATTTTGTTTGGGAAGATTAATTTCACTGACATCAAATAACAGATTTTTTTAAACAATTGTTCCTGTGCTTAAGTAGAATAAAATTACCAAAGAGTAGGCCTTTTACCTTTCATGAAAAAAGGGGTTTCTAAAAAACTATAAAACCAATTGTCACTTAACAGACAGTATCTGTTGATTCCAAGGTTTTACGGGCAAACACCGAGGTGAGTCTGAACATGCTAATGGATGTCAGCATTTCCTCAACCCTTTGAAATGTGTTATTCACGAGGGATCACAAAAATAAAACTTCAACTAGACAATTGGTGGTTGTAGATAAAATCATTTAATCAGTAGTCCATTCCATTCTAATTTACATTCAGCCCTGGGGCAAGGGGAGGAGTGAATCACCAAACACTCAATTCAGAAAAAAAGAAAAAAAAAGAGAGAAATCACCTATTTCACAATCTCATCTGCATGCACATCTTTGCTTAGTTTCTGTTGGATGATAATCCATCTCTTCCCTGCGAGAATAAAGTCTTATCTTCTTTGTATATCGACATTTGTGGGGAAAAAAAAAAAACCCTGCAAACCAATAAATGTGTTCTATAGTGCATCCCACGGGAAATAGTGGCAGGGCTTGCGGAAGCCAAGCACTGCTACCATTACAACACGGGCAAGCGGGGGACCTGGAGCAGACCAGACAGATGCAGGACTAACACACCAGTGGTTTGTGACAACTGAGGTTTTACAGCCAGCATTCAACTCAGGGATTCTCAAGGATGGGGCCCATCTTCTCATCCTCAGGGGCCAGAATGACAAACACAGACGCGACAAACAACAGGTCCTCCACCCAAGCTTACTGAATGGAAGAATGAACACGAGCACAGGCAAGGTGTGTTTACTGAAGTCACACAATTCCACCCAAAAGCACGTCCACAGTGGTGTGTACACTTCCAAGAGCATGTCCACATTGGTGTACACACTTCTAAGAGCACTAACAGCAGGGCAGTCACAGAAGGCTTCGTTAGTTCACAGTGTTCCAAGTTCCCACACTTAGAAGCCGCCCCTGCGGTCCCAAGGCCTTTCAGACGGATCCACCCAGGGGAAGTTAACTGGATTCCAGGCACCAGTCTCATCATGCACCATAGAATACGTTCTCCTACAAAAACCAAGTTATTAAAAAGCCTTTCGAAAACCTCACTTAGCTAGGAGAAGAGCCTCAGAATTCCTCCCAAATAACGTACTGTATTCCATTATACAACGAGGCAGACAACCTGCTGTGGACAGTCCTGTAAACCTAAGTCATCTAATATTCGCTTCTCTGAGAAAATACTCCTTTATTAAATCCTAGCCACGGTCTTCTCTGTCACTGATTTTTCTATTAGGCTTCTAATCATTGTAAAGTTACTTAAGAGAAGGAAACTATCTCAAGTTTTCAATTCCATTTTTAAGCTTTGAAAATTCAAAATGAGTATGTCAAGTATGTACAAACCAACTTGAGGTACAAAGTTTCAGATTTCTATATTGATAAACAATAACAATAATGATAAAGCACATACAATTACCAGGAGGCTTTCAAGCCGGGAGACACTGGCACTATCAATGGGGTCAGAGGACCAGCATGGCTGTGTTGCTGGCACGTTGCAAAGGTCTGCAAATCAAGAGGCAGAGCCCCGGGAGCTTTCCCATCAACCCATACTCTCCAGGACAGCACACTCAACTCTCTGGAGCGCCTGGTGATCTGGGATCATTTTAAAGTCGGAGTGGGCAGCAAAACAAGAGAGCTAGGAAGATGTACGGCTTTTGGCAGATTCGTGCACACCCCTAAAGCAGAGAGATCTGGTTCTCTTCCACAGTTTCCTTCGCACCTTAAAGTCTCAGGAATTTCTTTGTGGTATGAGAGCCTCAGCCTGTGCTGGAATGCAAACACAGCAAAAAAGTAGGTGTTCCTTTCCAGAAAACCCTCCTCATGGAAACAGCACAGCTATGACGGAAACCAGGAGTGCTTCCATCTGGCCAAGGCTGTCGTGGAGATGTGGGATAGAAATAACCAGAAACTACTTCAAAACTTTGCTTGCCTTTCTTCAACAGTAAGGCAATTCTATCCCAGCTGGGCTTCCTCCTCTGGACTACAGCAGTATCTCTGAAATGTCACGTTTTAAAGAGTAAGGAAATGATCATGCACCAGGCTGAAGGCAGCAACTCTCACACAAGCTAGCTCCTTGATCTATGAGCATGGCTACCAGCAAGAGGACGCTTAGTGGGCAGCGGTGCCTCCGCAGGCCGTGAGCAGCCCCCACAGTCACCCAGTCAGTGGACAACACACTTTTCTCGTTTGGTAGCATGATGAATTTAATGCAAGAGCCACAAACAGGGGCAAGGAAAGAGCAAGGCGGACGGGACGAGCCTGCATAGTGGAGCAAGACTCATGTTGGCGTCTATGTGCAGAAACAAGCAGGGTGAGGCACTTAAAAGCTTTTGGATGAATCCATCCAGGAGAAGCCTGGCCTAGGTCTACATTTATTATTACTGTCATCATCACTATCAATAATAACATACTTCTCAGGAAGAAACATGCAGCAGAAACATGAGACAAAAGAGCCTAAGACTGTTCTGAAAATTGAAATGACATGAGTGTCCAGAATGTCATATCTCAATTACAAAAGCCAATGTTTTCACTGTCTTATTTCTGTAGTAGTAGTATCTAGTTGAAAATTTTTTAATTACAAAATTATTGGCAATGATATAAAGCCCTGGCTGGTACAGATATTACTGTACTGGCACCCATTTGGTAAGGAAAATATCACCATCCAGCTATATTAAATATCCTTTATCATCCAAATATCTTAAACCAATCCTCTTATACTATAATTCAAAGACACTTTTATCTTTCCCCCATTACTCCATAATCAATATTCCTCTTAGAAATAATAACATTCACATATATAAAATAAAATATAATGCTTTAAAAATCTCAAAAATGTAATGTTAGTAGTTCTAGTTGTCATGGAGTTGCTTTGAATTTTTATTGCCCAGATGGCTTAAAAATAAAATCTTAAATGTCAGGTGGCAGTTGTCCTAGCACATCTGTAAACGCAATGCCACTGAAGACACTGGCATCAAACACTACACTCTAGCGTTGTGTGGAACTTTAAACCTTAAAGCCTCTTAACATAATCATGTATATCTATGTACAGAACATACATAAATTTCACTTTATGTAAAACATGAAAGAGGTAATCCCAAAATCACACTAAACATAATAAATATAGAACTTGTTTTGTTAAAAATCTACAGTATACATTCAAGTAAAGGCTAAACTTCCAATGCCAACCATATTTGGGACAAAAATTTAATGTTTTCAATAATCGGTCCCCTAAAAGTGCTATTCTCAATACCTGGAAGAGGAAATTCATTCTAGTGCTTCTGTTCCCATCCAAACACACACTCCTTTAGTCACAGAGCCGGTGGCTTCTGCCACTATCACACACCCAACGCCTTTGCATCCTTTTCAACAGCTTAGCATTGCAGCTCTTTGGGGGAAGACGGGGTCCAGACAAACCACCCAGACCATCTTCAATTAGACGACTGACTTTATCACACACCCTGTTTGATTCAGACGTGAACGCATCTGGATGCACAGTTCAGCGAGAGCACTGCCGTCTGTGCATCTAAGGTAAGTCGTCTCTCTCCATATGAGAATTTGTGTAGGTCGAGGAGCAGCCACTGTAGCAGCCTTCCCGTGAGCTGGGTCTCGACACCACGCTCCACTTCTGATTCGTACATTCTCGTCCAGCCTCATTTGGTTTAGTTTCTTCAGGAGTTATATTCAGCACACTGACTGAACTCCTGGAAGAAATAAGATAAATCTTAATAACTAATTATCTGCTCCTTGTTTAGAGCAGACAGATGTTCCTGACATTTCAAGTCTGACTGCTGCTTGTCTGCTAACAATACCTTTCAGGAAGCCACTTGACAAGAGAAGGCGGCACACTTAGAGCTGACTCTATTTGAGACTTCCATCTAGTCACTAGGTACAGGCCTGAGCAGGAAGATCTTCCCAGGGCAGATCAAGGCTTTCCTGTGTTCACAGGATGACCCGATCCAAATGGAACACCATCCCCTGTCTCACCTTCCACACGCCTCCTGACTATAGTACTAACCAGTCTGCTTCCCGTGAAGAAAACCAGAGTACTGTTCTTGCAAAAGGCTTGTGTCTTTCTTCCCCCTCCTCTTAATATTTGTCCTGTAGCTCTTAGATTACTGACATAGAAATACAGACTAAATTATTCTATAAAATGATATGTTTGGGTTTAAACTGCTTTAATACTTTCTCCATAGGCAGAAATCTACTTTATCACCCTGAGGAAGTGGTTTTTCTTGGCTGTTTGCCTTTCAATCAAAGAAACTTAAACTATGTACTCTGAAAAACTATAAAAATAGCAATTTTCAATACTTAAGTGACTCCTGATACGAGTCACCCCTGTCTGTCTTCTAAGGCAGGATCTCACTAGGCAGCCCTGACTAACTTAGAATTCACTGTGTAGACCAAGCTTGTCTCAGACTTTGAGAGATTCACCTGCCTCTGTCTCCTGAGTGCTGGCATCAAAGCTGTGCACCATCATGGCTGGTCTAGAAGTCCATACTTTAAATTGTTCTCCATTAGACTTCTATATCTAGCACAAAGCCTCACGCACTGGGAACCTCTGTGCATGCAGATTTCTCTCCAAAGCCTCTACTGTCACAAATACTATACGTAACAACTTCTCCTAAGCAAGCCAACACTGACCATTTTAGAAGTATGCGGCACAGCCGTTTAAACACAAATACCTGTGTTCAGACACACAGGAGCGTGTCTGGCAAATGTCTGAAGTAGAGGGTGAAACAGGTAGAGATTTAGTCAGTTTCGATGTGCAAGCTGGCGCCCCGTTAGCCACAGCATGTGGCTTCTTCTGCCGTGGCCGTGAGTGCACTATAAGATTGTCTGGATCAGAACCTGGTTTTTTGGAGTAAGGGAAAGAGCAGGGCACACGGTAAAACATCAGACACAATAAAGACAAACAAGAAGGATTAATCATTGCAATTTGGAGTGGGATTTGAGAAAGAACAAATTAATTGCCAACTCTGAGGCATATTCTGCAACTAGAAGAATCTAGCTTAAAAATGGCTAATAGCTAAAATCATGAATCTCAAAAATATGGTATTATTATACACTCACAAAAATGCCTTGTTATATGCAAGGTTCTCCTATGCGCTCTACTGTGACTTCAGTAAATAAAACACTAGGTTGATTTTGGGGACCCGGGTACAATTTCTTGTTGAATTGTAGCCTATTATGGGTTGAACTCCGGGGTTCAATCACCAGCACTTGAACACACAGGCGGGCAGAGATTAAAAACAGAAAAGGCTTCCCACAGAGAGAGGGCCCGTGTGCGTGTGCACAGACAGAGAGGGCCCGTGTGCGTGTGCACAGACAGAGAGGGCCCGTGTGTGCGTGTGCACAGACAGAGAGGCCCGTGTGCGTGCGCACAGACAGAGAGGCCGTGTGCTGCGCTCGGGAGCACTTACTTCCTGAGAAGGCACTGAGCAGCTTCACAGTTTCTGAGCTGTGGGGGTCAAAGGTCGTCATGTTTAAAAACTGCTGTTTTAACCAGCTGGCTCTTTCCTCTTCAAACGCCTTTCTCTAGGGTAACAAACAAACCACAGAGTTGGCGATTACTCCACGTCATTCCCATAACTTCTCCAGCTGTTTTCTCTCTGGCCACCCGAATGCTTTTTGTATCAAATAGTTGCCTAGAAACTAAAAGACACTTGAGAAAAGAATATTTAAAATAAAAATTTGGGGCTGGAGAGATGGTGCCATGGTTAAGAGCACTTGTTGCTCTTATGAGGACCTGGGTTCAATTCCCAGTACCCACACAATGGCTCACAACCGTCTGTACCACCAGTTCCAGGGATGTAAGGACAAAAGGGTCTTCTGGCCTCTGAGGACACCAGGCACACAGGGTCCACAGACACATACAACAGAGACATACATTAGGTTAAACACCCTCATACAGAAATAATAATTTTTAAACAATTTAAATAATAGAAAATCATAGCTTTTACCAACTACACCAACACCTGCTGGGTTTCACCTGAGCAGAGTAGTAGCCGCATTTCTGAACACAAAGAACACATGACCATAAAACTGGTATCAGAAAATACCCTGCTTCATAAGTCAGCCACTTGGAAGGGACTTCTGATTACATTGGGCATTTCTTTCTCCACTAGCAGTCGTCATGGCCACTGCTCCTGAGCCACAAGAGGGCAGACACAGGGTGCACCAATGTGGCCTCCTCTCTGGTCAGCTGATGACTCCTAACTCACATCTCTGTGTGTCCCCTGTGTCGACAAGTGGACATGTTCTCAGAGAGCTGGAGGACACGTTTGTGCATCTGAGCACATTCGTGCCTGTGCCCATGAAGGCCAAAGAAGGCCTCCTTCCCTGGAAATGGAGTTAGCTTTAGATCCCTTGGAAATGGAGTTACAGACAGTTGTGAGCGCTGGGATCCAGCCAGGGTCTTCTGTAAAAGCAGAAAGTGCCCTCTCTCCAGCTCTGAAATGGGATTAAAACCTTGTGCTACTACACCGAGCTCCCAGTAGACATTTCTTTTAATCTGTGGTAATATCTAAGGGATAAATTTGGAGAGCAAGAGGACACTGTCTCTTTTGTATAGTCAGCTGAGTTTTAAAACCATATTGGGTCGCTGTGTCTGTAATTTTTGAAAGGGCCATAAGGAGGCAAGAGTGCAACCCGTGGACAAACCACTAAGTGCTATACATTCCTCTCCAAGTCTGGGAAACACTGTCTTTGCTGTGCTTTCTGCACTATGAAACAAGGTTGCTGCTGGTACTATCTTCTGGTACCACATGTATGCACAATGGATAAGAGACAGGTGCCCAAAAGAAACTGAAAATCTAACAAAAGGTCATCCATATGCTCAGCCTCCCTTCAATTTCCAGTTACTCGTAATGTACAGGCCTCCAGGCCTCAGCACAACTGACTCCATGATGGGAAGTGCCACTCAGGCCATGAAACAAAGGCCTAATCCTTCAAAGTCCATAGTTCTGGGTATCTCTCTAAACACATTAACCTTGCTTTTTCACTTCTGTGGCTCTGCTTCTGGCTAACTGTTCTTGCTAACTGAAGTATGTCAACCCAAGATTTGGTTTTTGTGCTTAAAAGCTCAGCCTGAGGAAGGGATCCCAAACATATAGTGGTCACTGGCTGGATAATAAAGACTTTCTATTGGCTTAAATCCATGGAAGTCTTCTCAGGTAGACCCCCACACCAGTGAGGTGCCGTGTGACACTCAGGTACAATGACGGCAGAGCCAAGTTGGACCCAGGAGCGTACACCTGCACACCATGCCCAATGCAGCGGCGCTGAGAGCTCACCTCCAGTCCCAAGCGGATTGCAGCTTCTGTAAAGCTTCGTCTTTCTCTCTCAAAATTCTTTTTTTGCTCTTTAAAAAGCGACCACTCTTCTTTGAGGCATTCCTTTTCTTCCAGCAAGTAACAGTCTCGCAACAGTGAGGTGGTGTCGTCGTCACAGGCGGTGGCCAGCTGCTGCTGTTCAGGGTTAAACACGGGAAGTCAGGAAGTCCACACAGCTCACACACATTCAAGGGAGGGTGAAGAAGACAGATCAAAGCTTGGCCACGGGCATAAACTATGAAGAATCAGTCAGCCATTGAAAACCTGCTTCCCCAAGTGCTGCTTCCTTTGGCAAAGGGAGCAAGTGAAGAAGGGGTGCAACTTATTACTACTCCTGTGCAGAATTCAACTCTGCAGACCTTGGGCGATACAGGAGCAGGAATCTAGCAGGTTCAGGAACACCCTGAGGACACTCCCACTTACCTGCAGGAGCTGCTGCTGAGCTCGGATCATTTCTTTACACTGCTGGATCTCCAGCTCCAGCTTCTCAGTCTCTTGTTCATGGTCTTGCCGTGAGATGACGTCCTCATCGAGGCCTTCCATGTGGACCTTTGAAACTGACAGAATGCCATCTGCTGTTAGTCTGTTGTACCTGACACAAGCTAGGGTTATCTCGGAAGAGGGCACCTCAACTGAGAAAAGCCTCTATCAGACTGCTCTGTGGGCAAGCCCATAAGGCACTGTCTCTAGGAATTTTGCTTTGTTTTGTTTTGAGAAAGGGTTTCTCTATAGCTCTTGCTACCCTGGAACTTGCTTTGTAGATCAGGCTGACCTTGTAGGAGGGCCCAGCTCAGTGGGGTGGGACCACCACTGTGAAGGTGGTCTTGTGCTGTGTAAGAAAGCAGGCTGTGGAAGCCATGAGGAACAAGCCAGTGAGCAGCACTGCTCCGTGGCCTCTGCTTTGGTTCCTTCATGATGGCCTGTGAGCTATAAGGTTAGATGACCTCTTTCCTCCCAAGCTGCTTCTGGTCATGGTGTTTATCAAGACTAGAAGCCCTGACTAGAGCAGCCAGAAACCAGCACAGGTTTTGTGGACACACACTGGTCTTGAACAGACATTTCAAAATAAAAGTCTCCCAAATTTTCCCTTCCTGCTCTTCCCACGGGTTTTGTAAAAGGAAGTTATTTTCTTTAGCATTTTCCTCAGTCATAACAAAATGAAATGTTTTAAAGCAAAACAACTCCAAGTTCTGACAACTACACAGTTATACAATTTTAGGGCTAAATAGATTTACAAATAAGCATTGCTGCCAACATTTAACTTATAAACCACATTTATTCAAGACTATCATGAGAAGATTAATAGTATACCTCACTGTGCCTCTGGTTCTTGCTACCCAGTCTTCAGGAGCTACCGGCCCAACCACAGAAGAATGCTAACAAACCCCACAGATGGATAAACTGTTTCGATGGCGACGGAAAGATACTAAAGACTGTGTGTGCTCACATTAACTCCTACAAAACTAGAGTCCAGCAGCTGCTTACTAAACAGTGATGACGAAACGATGTCATCTCTGCACATCATCGTGGGGCTGAGCCGCTGCCCTTACAACCCACAGCACTGGTGCGACATCCACTGTTTTCACAATTTCAATTTATTTTATGTAGACTTCATTTACTAAATAGAGATCTTAGTGTTGAAGAAACGGCGGGGGTTAAAAGTGTACTCTGCTCCAGTAGAGGTCCCATGTTCCGTTTCTAGAAGCCATGCTAGGGGCTTATAACTATGCGTAACTTTAGCTCCAGGGGAGCCAACACCTCTGGCCCCCACAGGTACCAACAGTCACATGATATACCCATTTACAGACACACAAACACATTAAAATGATAATTAATAAATAAATAAAAATTTAACTTTCCTGACTTAAAAGCACACAGACTTTAGTATATATAAAATGGTTCCCCTTCATGTTCTTGCGTTCCAAGTTAGTCAGTTTACTACTGCCTGGGGACACAGCATCAGGATGAGTGATGCTTGCTGCTCTCTAAGGCTTGCTCTGGAGCCAGGGGCAAACCAGGCAGAAGGGGACACTCAGAGCAGCAGGAAGCCTGTGATCAGCAGCTCTGAGCCCCACAGTGCGACTGTCCAGCTGTCGGTGCGACCAGACAGCAACAGCTTATGTCACAGCCCACTGCGCATGCACGGGAGCAGTAGTCACCTTGGTTATCAAGTTTCTCTACATGACTCTTCAGGATTCTCCACTGCTTCCTGATGCTGTTTGTAAGCTGCTCTCTCACGGTATCACAGGAAAGGCCCCATCCACTCTCTCTGCTCGGCTCCCCAGCATCATCTTCAATATCAGAGATGACCTACAGCCCAGGGGGAACAAAAGGAAAGAGCAGTGACTTACAATGGCTTCACACCCGGGCAGACTGAGACAGTCTCTCTACCCATTACCTAGTACCTTATAAACACACTACTAACATTGAAGACAGAAACTCCCAAATTCACATCTCTTCAACTTTGACTCTACAGAGCTGTCTGAGGGGAGGCAGATGCTGTCTGTGTCATGATCTGTTACAAACCCTGCAGAAAGGTAAACTTGGGCTCAGTGTCACACGGCTGGCAGGTGGGACTGAGATGGGTCAGTTTGTTTCTGTTAGACTGTCACAACAAATGAACCTTTTGAGATTATCTACGGAGTCAAACGAGCAATCCCAATTCCCTCATCATTTTATGCTCGACATGCTTTTAATTGTAGCAAGACATGAAATTATAGGAAAATGTGCCAATGTTGATTAAGTTACCACAGAGAAATAATACTAAATAGTCTTTATTTATTATTTATTATTATTATTTATTACTAACTTCCAGGAAGGTCAAAATCCTTGAGTATGAAAAATACCCTCAGGAGAAAGGGGGCAAAAAAGTAAAAGAAAGAGGAGTCATTAGGCCCCTCCCTCACAGACAAGCACAGCAGGAACGGAGGGGGGCTAGATGCTGTGACATCAACACTGGGGTACCAGAGACCCTGAGCAGAGCAGCTGACTAAAGCTGGCAGAAGGCCCAGGGGCAGCTCTGCCATCATGGGCCTGTAACCCATCTCAAAGCCTCTGAGACTACAGGCCGAGCACCCTCACCAGAGGTGTAGGACCCGAGCACTTGGGAGTTAAGACATTCTGAGATTTTAGTCTCTCTCTCCTCTCCTGCCCCAACCCCTGTGTGTGTGTCTGTCTGTCTGTTAGGGATGGGACGAAAGCCTAAACATGAACCCTATTCCAAATGCACCTGGTACACACTGTCATCTTCAGATTTTAACACTGTGAACTGAGGCTCCCACAGCAGGTGCTTGAGTCAAGCAGGCTTTCTCTGTGCTTGCTACCGTGAGAGCGTCTAGTCTGGAAGAACCCTCCACAGCCACTCTCTGTGATGTCTTCTCTGACTAAACGAGAAGAGTCACCGCACGTGGCACAGGTGGTCGCCATTTCTCTACATGCCTAGCCCTTCCCAAAGTGTTTCTGGAGGAACTGTCGTCATCTTCAATCTGTCTTTTTGGGACTTAGAACACAATGAGCTTCAATAAAGGCATGGACTGAATATGTCTTTAGTTCCACAGGGACTGCAGAGAGTGAAGACTCTCACACACGACACGAGACTGTCACACACGGTGTGAACACGGTCACACAGAAGTGAAGACTGTCACACACGGCATGGTGGTTGAGTGCAGATACAAATCCAACTACTGTGCCTCAGTTTGCTCACATCTAAGATGGGTACAATTAAATAATAGTCAAATGATTATAACATTATAAGCATCATAATTCTGGAAATCATTTCCAGGAGAAACATGAAGGAGGTGATGCTCATGAAGTACCAGATGGTGGTCCCCAGGTGATTTCCAGGATGTGCCTGAAAATGCGCAGGGCAGTTTTCAGTTGTCACAGTGACTATAGGGGCAGAGCAGTGTGTACTCCCCAACACTGTTACCGCCCTCACTGAGTTACCCAGCCAGAGTCTGACTTGTGCGGGCTAGCATCCGAGGCCGGTGTTAGAGACACTTACAACAGCGCCTGTGCCATCTTCTGCTCTTTCCCTGGGTTTCTTCTTCTGGGGAGAGAGAAGGGAAATCATCTCCTTCTTCATCTGCTGCAGGACCTTCTTCAGCTCAGCGTTCTCCATCAGGATCTGCTTCTGGCGGTACTCATAGTCATTCAGCAGGGTTTTGTACATTTCATCTTCATTCCTGGGGAGAAACCCCGGATGTGAGAACACGTACTGACAGCAACCCCAGCTACCACTGTCACATCATACGGCTATACCTGGCTTCTGTTTTATCGGTCCTCCACGAGCCTCGTTTTCCATCAGCTCGACCCACATAGTTTAAAACGTCCATGGCTACAAACGTAAGCACAGAACACAATTAACCTCTGTACCGTGTGCTAAAAACTCTACTACACCTGAGACACATGAGGGGCTGACCCTGACCTGGCACATAAGTCAGGACCCTTCACTTCTTCCCTGGCTGGGGAATGAAATGACCCTCGAGTTCTTAAGGACAGAGGCATGTGCTCACTAGGGGAGCTCAGTGTCACTATTAACTGCACTATTGAGTGACAAGCCCACTCTTGGACACAAAGCTTCCCTGGAACTCATCGGCCTATTTACATAGTGTTAGGGGAACCTGCCCTGCAGTGGCAGAGGGCAACACTAAGCTCAGTCTGGCACTTACAGAGAAGGCCTGGCCTGGCCTGCCTTGTTAACCACATCACTGCTCTTGACAGTACTATGCAGACAGATCGTTTGGCATAAGAAAAGTTATTCTAATTTTGAACTAAGATGAAACCTATAAGAAACCATAAGAAACGGCAACCCACCCCAGACTGCTGCTGCTGCTGACATTTACAAAGCTAACTCTAAAATCCCCCCCTTTGACATTTAGGAGCCATGTGATGCTTCCTATCTCCTGTTCTCTCCATACCCAGCGTATTAAACACACACGTGTGTGGTGGTCTCAAATGTTTGAATGCTTGGTCCCCAGTTGGTGGAACTGTTTGGGAAGGGTTAGGAGGTGTGGCCTTGCAGGAAGAGGTGTGTCACTAGGGGTGGGCTTTGGTTCTTCCTGCGGCATAGTTTGCCTCGGGATGTAAGCTCTCAGCAATGCTCCAGCAGCATGCCTGTCCGCCTGCGGCCATGCTCCCTGACATGATGGGCACTGCCATCTGAGACTGTAAGCCCCAATACACTCTCCTCTAAGCTGCCTTCGTTACTGTCTTACAGCGACAGAAAAGTGACCAAGACAACATGGAACTAGTGATGCAAACTAAAACCCAGTTTTGTTTTCTCCACAAATCAGTTCTCTCAATTTGTAGTTTATAGGAAATACCTCAATTCTAGAGCCACTTAGAACTTAGAGTGTACGAAGACACTCCACCGCCATGCTTACAGGCACATCCCCGCAGCTGCTCCTCCCGCTATCCGCCAGTGCCATACCTAGTCTCTTGTCCTTCTTGTTCATAACAAGCTGATGCAGCCGTTCCTTTAGCTTATTGTATTCACGCTCCTTCCTCTTCATGTCATGATTATACTGAGTAGCCCGACTGGCTATGATATTTTGTAATTTTTGTACCTGAAAACAAAAATACTTTCTATCAAACAAGTATTGATAAACCTGCTAAAATCCATAAATTCAAAAGACAAAGCAAGTCCTATGACCATCTTCCCACCAATGAGTTTTTACTTCTAACCTGATTCTTCTTTTGTGAGAGCCAGAGGAAAGCACCTAAAGACACGAGGTGAACGACAACACACAGGGGTACAGGGCTGCCAGCAGCTGCTTTCTCTCTGAGCAGCAAGCATCGGGAGCTGAGGTCAGGGATGTTCTTCTGAGTCTGCCATCCTGTGCATGCGAGGCCAGCGCCTACTGCTGACCACACTCCCAGACTGCCTTTCACTTCAAGGCAGGGTCGACAGAGCTGTCCACACTGGGCTTCACTCTCGGGTTTCCTGCCCACCCCCTTAGCAGCTGGGATGACAGACCAGTGCTACCAGGCTCGGATGGTATACTCTGTTCTTTAGAGTCATTTCCAACCGTGACCACAGAATGTGTTAGCTTACTCTATACCATAAACAAACCACCATCAAGCAAAATGCAACAATCAACACATTACATCAAAATTTCCTACGCAGTAACTTTGGTTAGATAATCACTGTTTTCTTTTAAACACTAATTAAACAGCGTAAAAAGAAACCTATTTGTTCATGGGCTTTTTAAGAAATAGATTCCTGGAGCTGAAGAGAAGGTTCAGTAGTTAAGAGACTTGATGCTCTTACAGAGGATCTGGGTTCAAAGCTCAGCACCTACAAGTTGGCTCACAACCACCTGTAACTCCAGTTCCTGGGGATCCAATCTTTTGGCCTCTGAAAGCACCAGCCATGAATGTGGTACACAGACATGGAGGTGAACCCCCATACAAAAATAAAATAAAGTATAAATAAAACAGAAATAAACTCCCTTTTAAGTCCCTTAAAGAATAAAACATTAAAATAATATTTTTATAGCTATTATTGGCAGGGCTCACAGGAGAGAACAAGGAAGCCTGTCGGTTTGCTCTCAGACGCATCATAAATAACACCTCCAGGACACTAGCGCTGTAGCTCCACCCTCCACACAGCTGCCACCAGCTAAAATAAGAGGGCTAGGTACCTACTAAGCAAAGATTAGAATTAGGGTATTTACAGTTAGAAATGAAATTTTTAATATGAACTGTCATAGCTTTGTGCAGTCTAGGTAATCTACTAAGGTTAATTCTTTGCTAGAAAAACGATAACATTTAAGATCGTGCAAGAGGGGGAAATATATCAGGAGATAGTTTAGTGGTAGGTAGAGAGGCCTTGCCTAGCGTGCATGGGCCCTGGTCAGGTGAGAGCCAGAGAGGACTTCACTGTAGAGGGAGACCTTGCTAAAGCGAGGAGCAGGTGGAAAGGGGTGAGCCTTGCATCTGTGGCAACACTGAGGAGCCAAAGGACGAACATGCTGAGTTCTCGTGGGCCCTCAAGAGAGTATGGAAGGATGGTACAGGAAGGACTGCCTGCTGCCAGCGATGGCTTGAGGTAGTAAGTAAGAAAACCTTCTTGGGCAGTGGTGGTGCACACCTTTAATCCCAGCACTCAGGAGGGCAGGGACAGGCAGATCTCTTTGAATTCAAGGCCAGCCTGAACTACAGAGCTAGCTCCAGGACATCTAGGACTGTCACACAGAGAAACCCTGTCTCAAAAAAAAAAAAAAAAAAAAAAGAACCAAACAAACAAACAAAAAAAGCAAACCTTCTTGGAGCAGGCACAGGAGTGTCCACCACGCTGGTGTGACACAGACAGAGACAGGAGTGTCCACCACGCTGGTGTGACACAGACAGGCACAGGGGTGTCCACCACGCTGGTGTGACACAGACAGGCACAGGGGTGTCCACCATGCTGGTGTGACACCGGATCTTTTTTAAAGCCGAGTGGCCATTAAGTCACAATCAGCAGTTCAGCTCAGGCACGGCCACAGAGACTCACCTCATCCTTCTCATTCTTCAGGAGCTGATGCAGATTCCTGTTTTTGCACTGTAACTGTCTGTCTCTCTCCTGAAGCCCAATCATCTCTCGCCTCGAGGTTTCCAGCTGTTCCTGGAACACGAAATGAGCCATCTGAGTGAAGCCGACAGGAGTCAGAGTCCACAGAAGTGCAGTGATGGAACTCATACTAACCTGGAGCTGGAACCCAACTCCGGTGGCACACGGAATGTTTACTTCAAGCAGTTACTATCAAGTCTGATGCACAAAATCACATGCCTTAGTTGCTCTAGTCCATTCCTCACAGGAACGGCCTCAGTCACTGCAACTTAGCGTGCATCACTGCAGCACGATGGCACTCGGCGACGGGCACACAGACAGAAGAGCACCGTCCTCCGGGGTCACAGATCTGGATCAGCCCGGTTAGCATCCAGGCCCTAAGAGGGCTCAGTCATTGGAGCATGCACAGCTCACAGCCCTAGAAACCACTAAGTTCCTTCTCCAGCCTGTAGGGTCCCCCACTAGCCACGACACACAGTGGGGTGCTCTCCCTGTCCTTCAGGCAAACAGGATGTACAAGGAGCTAAAGCACGATTACAGAGACAGCGTTTGCACCAGGTCTGAAGACAGACAAGGTACATCGGGCAGCAATGGGCTGAAAGGAGCAAGTGTCCCGAGGATATGTGACACTTGGTTAGAGCATCCCCAAATGTGTCCGGTGCTCACGAGCAGAGCGGCACACACTGCTACCCTGCAAATATTATAGAGACTGTGCTCTCCTGCAGCATCCAGAGAGTCAAGGTTCTCCGGCTTTCTTATCTGTCTTAGAAGGGGTGGGAAGGAAGAGGGCCAAGGACCAGTAGATGGAAAATCCCAAGAAAGCCAATTGCCAAGGGCATACACATGCACACAAAGGCTTTGTTCTCACAAGCAGGGCCTTATATAGAATACTGGGGGAAAACATAATGTAACTCTATCCTATACCATGATTTAAACACTTGTTCACTTTTCTCGAGGGAGAATGTATTTCTTATAGAAAAAGATAGAAAAGCTTTTTTTTTTTTTTTGGTTTTTCAAGACAGGGTTTCTCTGTAGCTTTGGTGCCCGTCCCAGAACTAGCTCCAAACTGGCCTCGGAACTCCCAGAAATCCGCCTGCCTCTACCTTCCTGAGTGCTGGGATTAAAGGCGTGTGCCACCACCGCCCGGCTTAGAAAAGCTTTTTATAAAGAAGAGAAAGCAAACCAAAACTGGCAACAGCATGTGTATGTGAAGGAGGCAGGCCAGCGGCTGTTCAAGTACCTTTGCCTTTCTACAGAAGGGTGGCAAGGGAGGAGCCCAGGGAACTGCAGTCTCCCCTGCAGCAGGGGACTCCTTGTCTGCCTTGCTCCCCTCCTGAGCTCTGCTCTTTGGTTCACACACCTTGGGAATGTTTTCCGTGGGGTCAGCATGTTATGAAGCACCTACTTTATCAAGCAAGACTGGAAGAGGAGAGTACCCTGATTTTCCTCAGAACTTTTAAGTTCCTAACTTAACTCTTAAGTTTCCTAACTTTCTACAGCTTCAACAAGTCACTAAACAACAAAACCAAGGCCTTTAGCACAGACAGCAAGAAGCAGAACCATCAATGTGTGCAAATTCCTTGAAAGCATTCCTAAAGGAGCATCAGGCCTTAAACGCAGCTCCACCCGTGCACTGTGCCCAGGATGAGCACTGTCACAGGAGGACAATAAGGTGTACCTTAAGTTTGGTGTAGCAGCTCTGCAGGTGGTCCATGTCACTGCCCAGCTTCAGGTTCTGGGTTTCCACACTCTCCTGGGCCAGAAGGTTCTTCCGCTGAAGCACAAGTAACTCATTCATACAATTTAAAACAGCAACTATATTTAACTCTCTCTTTGTCTCTTTACTTTTGGATTCTTCATATAAGGAAGGAAAACCGAAGGTAGTCAGTTCCTGAGAGGAGAAAATGTACTCTTAGCAGCTGGGTATCTCTGGGAAAATGTCATAGGCAGGATGTTTCAGTTTGGCAGGAATGAGCTACTGTACCCCTTGTGATAAGCTAGTAACAATGTTGATCCTCAACACTGCAGAGTAGACCGAAGTCACCCTGACACAAAGCCAACCTCACTCCGTGCATTGTGGGGCCATCCCACAGTGTACGCAGACTTGATAACATCAGGCAGCATATAATGTACAGTTATCAATTTGTCGACTGGATCTTTCAGTATGTGCATTAATTTTTTTCAGTGGATTAATGTATAACTTAGTGAAAAGAAAAAAAGTTAAAAAAATTCCTAGACCATTAATATTAAATATTCAGAGAACAAGAACTTAAACAACTTTAAATTCTCTGCTGACCAATCATCCATGACCTGGCGTAAATTCTCCAGCCTTGTTATCAATGAAACGAGGGCTGGACAGCCCGCACAGGATCCTGGGACAGAAGGCATCCAGCTGGGCAAGCACAGCAGTCAAACCTGTGTCAGTGCAGACACTCCCACAGTCTCTGCAGACCTAACGTCTAAGTCTTAGCCACTACATAACGACACACTCAGGTTGGCACATGCTTTTCTTGTAGCTTTGATATTTTCTGGTATATAACATGACTTATGCTCTTTTTACCAAAAAAAAAAAAAAAAAAACATTACCTGGTCAAGATATGATATGCTTTGTTCAATGTTCTCTTCTGTGCAGAAGGCACTGACAACACCATGCACATTCTTTGATAAAGGTATTGAAGAGCATAGCACTTGCTGGGAGTATAAACTTGATGGGGACATCTTTGTTTCTGAGGTATATTGAGAGAGATTTTTGCTTTCTGAAAATAAAAAAGCATTCAAGCAATTAAAAAACTACCATAATCTCTATTACCAAAGATTCTGAATTACACATAAAATTAGAGCAAAATACTTTTGTGTGAAATTATATATATACATTTTTACTTTTTACAAAGATGAGAACATGACACATTACATTAATGCTCTTTCTTGGTAGATATGTTAAAATGGATTCACAGCTTAACTTCCACTATTGATTTATAAAAATAGGAAAAACATACTTGTCCGTGCCATTCAGTGTATGTGACTCAAAGAGTTAGAGACTGAAGGAGTCAAAACATGTATTTCAAATGTGTAAAATGTCTCTCAAAAATGGTAATAAATAATCTATTGCCCACTTGGCTTTTTATAACTTTACTGGAAATGAACATGGGTGCATGCTAACCACTGATAGCTGACATCACATCTGCCATGTCTGTGGTTTTCTCATTAATCCCTCTGTGATGGTGTCTGCTGTTCGGACTCAATTACCTGCACACAGACTGGGATCTGTAACAGTCATCCAATCTCCCATAGCAATTTCCAGAGCCAAGATACCTGAGGAGGTGGTTCAGTGCTGAAACATGTACAAGGGCTTCTGGCGCTCTACGTGAGCATCTCCTTAGGAAGCAAGGGACAGAGGCGTCAAATTTAAAAGGTGAGACCCAATGAGAGCAAAAAAATAGCTTGTACGTTCTTTGAGTTTCATTTCATTTTTTATGCAGATAAATGTTTTCCCTGAATTTGCATGTGCCCCATATGCATGTCTGGTGCTCATAGAAGTCAGAAGAGGGCATCGGGTCCTCTGAAACTGGAGTTAGAAATGGTTGTGAGCCACCATGTGGGTGCTGGGAACTGAATCCATGCCCCTGCCAATGGCACCAAGGGCTCTTAACTACGGAGCCAGCTCTGTAGTCCATTTATGTGCCCCTCTGTGACCAGCTGCCTAGACTCCCACCTCTGTGACCAGCTGCCTAGACTCCCACCTCTGTGACCAGCTGTCTAGGCTCCCACCTCTGACCTGCCACATGATAGACCATAACCTGGAATTATAAACCAAATAGACCCACTTTCCCCAAAGATGATTTTCATCAGGATGTTTAATTACATCAACAAAAATGCAAACTAGAACACAGAGACACACAGGCTCTGTATGTGTGTGTGTGTGTGTACCTGCATGAGTGCAATACAAATAATATGTATTTGTATCCAGGTTAGAGATTTCCCAAGACACATGGTACCCGATCTGACTCTAAGGGTATAGGACTCTAATAGGAAATATTTCTGCATCACATCCAAGAACAACTCTTTTTTCTTTTTAAGTTTTTCGAGACAGGGCTTCTCTGTGTAGTTTTGGCTGTCCTGGAACTCACTTTGTAGACCAGGCTGGCCTTGAACTCAAGAGATCTGCAGGCCTCTGCCTCCTGAGTGCTGGGATTAAAGGCGTGTGCCACAATCTGGCCCCAAGAACAATTCTTGTTTATATATATGAGAAGGTGAAATCTTTTATACTCTGAGCCCCAGTCTGGCTCGGGGTAAGGAAGAAACATTCTATGTGTGGCATTTTAGGCAACACCATCTCACACTCAAGGGGCAAAGCTGGCAACATGGATTTGGAAACACTGCTCACAAGTTTATCCTCAGAAGATGATGTGCACAGAGATTTAGCTACAGGGTGTTGTTCATAATATGGAAAATCAAAGCAAAAACGTGTCCACAGAAAACTGGTCATCCAATAGAACATTGTACAGATTTAAACAAAGCTGCAGAATTAAAAATGGCTAAGGAATATCAGGCTAGAAATACAATGAGTAGTGGACTAAATTAAGATGGGACTTTCGTTTACTATTCTTGCTTCCACCTTTCAACAGATGAGACACATTTCAACCACAAGAAAAGCAATTCAAATGAAATTATAACTGGCAACAGACTTCCAGGTCAGGCGAAGGCAGGAGGTGAGGGTGTGGGCAAATGGGAGGACACGTGGGACACTGTGGGCAGCTGCTTCTCAGCACAGCAAACTGCAGTCAAGAGGCTGCCCCTGGGCTGGAGGCTCTTTCAATTTTTAAAGATGTTCTTCACTTTTACAGGAAATCTTCCAATTTTTAAATGTTAGAGGCTAATTATAAAACATTATGCAGTTTATTCCATGGGAAGAGGGAGTGAGGGGGTATAATGCAGCCTTATCTGAGGCTCAATTCATGGGAACACACGTAATTCATTAAGTTGTATGTGTAAGTTCTATACTCTTTGCTATAAGCTATAACTCACCATCTAACAAGTCAAATTAAGTTTATCATAGTGTATCACGTATATCATAGCATATAATAGTATAGCATAGGCTATAGGGCCGTGACCACTAATTCTTCTCTGAATATTTAATGATTTAGTGAGGGTAGATCAAAGCCTCCCCTCACCCTAAGTGACCTGAGCTCCCACTACACAGCAAGCACAATTTCTAGGCACAAGGGAGGCTGAGTTCTCTAGAGTTCACCTTCTGAGAAAGGTGAGCAGGACACACTACAGAAGCAAGTAGAACTCAGAGTGATTAGAGCTACAAAGAAAACAAGCTCGGCAACATCAAAGTGTTGGGTAGGGAAAATCTAGATCAGTCAGGGAAAGTTACACAGTGATGTGCCAGTTCCAGTTTGCAAATGGATGTTCCTTAGGGGCTCTTTAGCTAAAGGTTAGGTTCCCAGCTAGAAGCACTATTTGGGAGGTACTGGACACGTCAGGGGTGGAACCTAGAGGAATCAGTTTCTGGGGTGAGAAGTGCTCTGCCCTCTTCCATCAGTGACAAGGAAAGCTCGTGTGTTTTACTGTGTGCTTCTCACGCATGCTCAGCCACACCTCAGGCCTGCCACAGTGGGGCCAGCACCAGTCAGCCACAGATGGAAAGCTCTGAAACTCTGAACCCAAATAAATCTTCACTCCCTTTACGCTGTTTACCTGTCACAGCTCACACAAGAGAGTGACATTTGATAAGAGACTTAAGTACTATGGAGTCAGTCCCAAGACAAGGGAAACAGAAAGTACAAAGACCTGAAACAAAATTGAACTTGGCAAGAAAAAGCCAGAAGGCCGGTGTGCCTGGTGCACAGCGAGCAAGGCTGGAGGGCAGCAAGCTGGATTTCTGACTGCATGAGAAGCTGCAGAAGCTGCCCAAAGCAGGAAAGTAACATGGGCTCCTTTATGCTGCAAGCAGCATCACTGTTAGTACTCTGGGCAAACTACAGGAATCAGCAGAAAAGGCTGGGGACGCTAACAAGGTTACTGCAACAGCACAGGTCCAGCCACAGAAACAAACACCTGGAAGCGGCGGAGATGTAATGAGGATGAGTCTGCATCAGGTAAGAAAAACACGTTAACTTGACTTTAGGACTAAGGGACACAGCTCTAAGCAAAACACAAAAGTAAACAAACCCACCTATCGGTGACAGCTTTTTTTGGGTGATGTGGGATTCCCTTCTGTATGCTGTGAATACCATTGGTTAATAAAGAAACTGTCTTGGGCCTGCGCAGGAATAGAGGTAAGCAGGGAAAACTAAATGGAATGCTGGGAGAAAGGATGAGGAGTTAGAGAACCATCGAGCTGCCACCAGAGACAGACATGCTGAAACCTTGCTGGTAGGCCACGAGTCTTGTGGTAAAATATAAAATAATTGAGATGGGTTAATTCTAGATGTAAGAGCTAGCTAGCAATAATGCTTAAGTAATTGGCCAAGCAGTGATTTAATTAATACAGTTTCTGTGTGGTTATTTCAGGAGCCTGGGCAGCCAGAAAACGAACAAGCAGCCTTCCTACTACATTTGGGTATGTTTTTCACTGATCATGTCTCATAATGGTGACATGTACTTCAGTGTGACTCCTTAAATGAGGCAATGCATGAAGTATTTACCACACTGCTTGGTACATGGAGTGAACAGTGTGAGTTCGCTGTGTTCCTTTTCCTCATTGCCATGACCAACTATCGGAGACAGACAGAGGGCTGTTTGGGCTCACAGTCTCAGAGATTTCAGCCTACTAGAGAGAGAGGGAGGGAAGATGTGGCCATGTAGAGCAGCTACATCACTGGTGGTGGGGGAGGAGCAGAGAGAGAAAGACAAGGTGGGTACTGTGGGAATGTTAGTATCCACATGAGCAGGCCTTCTCCTTCAATCTCTGCATAACGCCAGCCTATGGGATGTGGCTGTCCATTCAGAGTGGGTCTTTACCACTAGACAGTCCTTTGTGGATGTGTACTCACATCTACAACTGTTCATCACAATCATGGCCTAGACACAGCTCTGTCTGGTGTAAGTGACAGGATTCTTAGACAGGCAGAAATAAATGCACCACTGCTCTCAAGGAAAGGGGGACAGAGATTCAGAAGCCCTGGAAACTCGTGTCCACGTAGACGCTGGGCAGATCTAATCCACTGTAATCGGCTGTCCACATGGAAAGCAGCAGTGACCTAATCCCCTGTAATCGCAGGGCTGGGGAGACACAAGAACAGACCAGCTCCTTTCCAGGAAGGCTTGCTCGTTTTGTTACAGTATCTGCAGGTGAGAGAAAAGAGCTGCATGGCTTTTCTCACTCACAGAGACTCACAGACCAAGAGCACTCACCTGCTCCATAAGACTGAAGGCCTCTGTGCCTGGACTTAGTTCTTCAGCATCTACAAGTTTAGCCTGTGAGTTGTTTCCTGTCCTATCCTGTTCTCATTCTCTCTCTCTCTCTCTCTCTCTCTCTCTCTCTCTCTCTCACACACACACACACACACACACACACACACACACACGAACGCACACACAAACCATGCAATCTAAGGATGGACCAAATTATACACCATGAGACTTGGGAGAAGTTACTCTACCAGCTATTTTCAAGAAAGGGCAATGTACCTTGTCTGGAAAACCCAAGAGGTTAGTTCACACAAACTATATTGTAGCTCAATTTAAGATTTTATTTTAATGATTTTAAAATAAATTAAGGCTAATTTCAAAGAAAACAGTATCAGGGCATCTCCGTGTTACACAGCCTCACACTACCGCAAACCCACTACAGTGTGGGAGTACCAAAAGTGAGCAAGGTCTGTCACAAAGCTGGGGCTGGAGCAAAAGTTCCTACTACAGATGGACCACAATCAAGCAAACAGTTGTACGAGACTGCAACAACCCATGACAAATCGCACCATCACAGGCTTGGCTATGCCCACAGTATTACTGACATTTCAAAATAGGGGAAAAGTTGGCAGTAACAATTCGGGTCACGTGATCTGGATCCTGGCCTTTTCTAACATCCTTTTCACTGTGTGCATGCACAACTAGCTGGGAGAGCCATCCAGACTCCGAGACAGGTGAGGTCCATGTGCACACTTTGACTGAAATATCAATAACTTACATAACACAAAGTCCATTTCATTCATCTAAAATGTATAGGGGACAAAACCTACAATATGACCAGTGAGAACATCAGCACTCTCAGCCTGGGGCATAGTTCAATCAAAGAGCATTGCCTAGAATGGGAGGCCCTGGGTTTCATCCCCAGAACAAAACAAAATTTCTTCTCTTCTTCACACCAGAGAGAAACCATCTTACTATCCTGCTGGCAGCACGTAAAGACATCTAATGAACTCTCC